ATTGCTTTATGAAGCTAAAATTAGTGAACTGGCTCCCCGCGGGCATTTCGTCACATGTGTGCAAGCCTCAGATGCAGATAGTTCGGATGTTGACAAGCTGGAGTACTCCATTCTGACAGGCAATGACCAAAAGAATTTTGTAATTAACGGTAAAACTGGTATTATCACCATCTCAAACCTACGCAGGCAGACGTTGAAGTCGCATTACAATCTTAACGTGTCTGTTTGTGATGGGGTTTTCAGAAGCTCAGCCCAAGTCCATATTACTGTAACCAGTGCCAATATGCATAGTCCTGTTTTCAGCCAGAATGAATATGAGGTTGAACTAGCTGAAAATGCTCCATTGCATACTTTAGTGACCGAAGTCAAAGCAACAGATGAAGATTCCGGTGCTTACGGCCACATCACTTACCTCATTGTGAATGACTTTGCCAAAGACAGATTTTATACAAATGAGAGAGGGCAGATATTCACCTCTGAAAAGCTTGACCGTGAAACACAAGCAGAAAAAGTAATTGCCATCAGTTTCATGGCCAAAGATTCAGGAGGAAAAGTTGCTTTCTGTACTGTTAATGTAATACTTACAGATGACAATGACAATGCTCCCCAATTCCGAGCAACAGAGTATGAAGTAAATATTGGATCTGATGTTCCACGGGGTACTTCTGTCATTAAAGTCTGGGCATCTGATGCTGATGAGGGCACAAATGCAGACATTACATACGCTATTGAAGCGGAGTCTGAAAATGTTAAAGAGAATTTAGAAATTGATTCATTGTCTGGTATAATTACTACGAAAGAAAGCTTAATAGGTTTAGAAAATGAGTTTCTGACCTTCTTTGTTAGAGCAGTCGATGGTGGATCCCCCAAAAAAGAGTCAATTGTTCCCATCTATGCTAGAATACTCCCACCAGAAGTGCCTCTTCCAAAATTTTCAGAGCCGTTTTATTCTTATACTGTTTCTGAGGACATTCCAATTGGGACTGAGATAGATGTTATCAAAGCAGAGCATAATCAGACTTTAGTGTATAGTTTGATTAAAGGGAACACTCCAGAAAGCAATAGAGATGATTTTTTTGTGATTGATCGACAGACTGGAGAATTGAAACTTGAGAAGAACCTGGATCATGAAACAACTAAATGGTACCAGTTCTCAGTTCGAGCACAGTACACAAATAAAGATTATAATGTTGTTTCCTCAGTAGATGTAAGCATTCAGGTAAAAGACGCAAATGATAACACACCGGTTTTGGAGTCCAATCCATATGAAGCATTCATCGTAGAAAACATGCCAGCTGGAACAAGAGTCATCCAGGTTAAAGGAACTGACTTGGATTCAGGACTCAATGGGCAGGTTACTTACAGCTTGGATCCTTCTCAGGAACTAGACATTATAGAGTCTTTTGCCATAAACATGGAAACCGGCTGGATTACCACTCTCAGAGAACTCGATCATGAGAAACGAGACAAATACAAAATCACAGTGGTTGCATCTGATCGGGGTGAAAAAATTCAACTGTCTTCTATGGCTGTGGTTGAAGTTGCTGTTACGGATGTGAATGACAATCCTCCACGCTTCACTGCAGAGATATATAAAGGAACAGTGAGTGAAGATGACCCTCCTGGTGGGGTAATTGCCATTCTGAGTACAACTGATGCTGATACAGAAGAAGCCAATAGAGAAGTCACTTACTACATTACAGGTAAATCTTTTTGAGTCAGAATAATCATTTAAGTCGTCCTAGAATGATGTGAGATATAACTTAATCTTCCATGTTATTGAAAAGTATTAGAAACCACAGTTCTGCAAAGAAAGAATGTATGTGTCCTAATGTGAATATTTAAAACTTCGGGGGTAGGAGGGGGAATTTGGTTTAGAAAATAGGTCTTTTAGCTTTCTGTTTCACGTTTGCCTAGCTTAAAATGCTTTCTGTTTCCTATATATATATTTTATTTTAAAAATATGTATTTACACTGAAATTAGTGAAGTAGTTAAAGAATGAGTGAAAGAAATGTCACAAAATAATAGACTGTTAATTTCCAGTGGAATATTTTATTGTTTTCATTTTGTAGTATATGTCTTGATGCTGTCTATAATGCTACATTAATTTCTATAGGTTCTGTGGACTGCAGTTAAATCTGTTGTATGAGCATCTGCTGACTATTTCTACCTGGAAAATGAAGCCATTTCCCTATAAAGCCGCAGAGAGTGGCTGCTTATTTGCTTCTATATTTTTTCTCTTTAGCTATAACTTAATGTTGGTAAAGCAATAGTAGAAGTCTGTCTCTTGTCTTTAATTCAGTGTTTCTTTTTGTATTTCAGGAGGTGATCCCTTGGGACAGTTTGATACTGAAAATATACAGAATGAATGGAAAGTCTATGTCAAAAAGCCTCTGGACAGGGAAGAAAAGGATAATTACCTTCTAAATATTACAGCTACTGATGGGACCTTTGCAACTAAAGCTGTGGTGGAGGTTAAAGTCCTTGATGCTAATGATAACAGCCCTGTTTGTGAAAAGGTAGGCACAATCTTGTATCTTCCGTGTCCAGCTGTTTCCATATGTAAAATATAAACTTTCTCCAAAATTGCTTCTCAGAAGACTGACAAATAGGCGTTTCTTTTATGCTAGGAATAGAAATTCTGACTATTAAGATAGAATGCTGCCAAAGGAAAGCTATTTCATGGACAGGTTTCTTAAAGAGAAATCCATAAACAATTCATTGTTGGAATTTTAACACTCAGTGGGTATTTGAAGAGTATAAGGAGAATTGTAGTACGTTTCTCCTGTGTTAATGCATACTTCTCCAAAAGGAATTGTTATTACACTGCAGTCATGATAGTTTATATGCTGGTTTCTGAAGGAAGTAAAGTCTCAAAAAAAGGCTGTATACTATCACTTAGTTGATGTATTTGTGTTTTCCGTGATTAGAGTTGAAAAGACTGGAATATTATCCTGCAGTTGCACTCAGCAGCACCAAGAATCTTTAATTCGTTAATGTTTCCTTATTACAAAGCCATCTATGTTACCAGACTTGATGGTCTGCAAAAATGGACAAGAAAAATAAAGAAGGGGAAAAAAATCAGAATTGTAGACTCTGCAAGACATATAATTGTGTTATGATAAACTCCAGGGTTTTCATAGTCAGTTTTTGTTTGGTTGGTTGTTTTTGTTTCGTTGTTTGGGTTTTTTTTTTAACTTTTACCTATCTTGTTGAAAACAGATTTCATGTTACTGGGTAGAAAGGCAAAATCTTTTCTTGTTCTGGGAAGGATCAAGTATATACAGTGAGCATTTGATTCTTTTTCTTAGTCTATGTTTATGTTGGTTACTTTTATGTAAATGATTGCAATTATATGCAGATTGATAAGTCAATGTTTTTAGCTTTTTTCATTTGTTAATATTGGTTTTATATGGCTCAGTCCTTCTAATTTAATTCACATCCCTGACAAGGATGAGCAGTAAGAGTTCTTAGTGCCTTTAGATTCTGGATGTTTTTTTCTTAGTTTTTATTTAAACTGGAAACATTTATTTAATGCCATTAGAAAAAAGGCGAGTATCAATTTCTTCCAGATTGAGTCAGACCTAGAAAAGATGATTTAGCAAAAGAGGAAAAAATAAATTACCAAAAGCTTATAACTCCTGTTTTGGGAATGCATTTAATTATTAGTTAATCAGTTTAAAGAGTTAGAATTCATAGCTCTGCAGTGATACTCAAGAGTCACTGCGGTTGCAGTACTAATTACCTTTCTGAACAATCTAATAAATGTGTGGTAATTAATTAGAAAATTCTAAGTTCTTTTAATTTTCAGGTATTTCACCCTTTAATTCACTTCATGTGTTACTATTAGAAATTCAAACAAAATATTACCTCATATGTCATTCCTTCTTTCCCTTCCCTTGCCAAGTTTTACTTATTTCATATGTTTAGTCTTTCAATGTAATTTTTAATCATGCAGACTTTCTACACTGATTCTGTTCCTGAGGATGCCCTTCCTGGCAAGCTGATAATGCAGGTATCTGCTACAGATGCAGATGTTCGTTCCAATGCAGAAATTGCTTACACACTTCATGGTACAGGAGCAGAAAAATTCAGACTCACTCCAGACACAGGTAATAATGCTTTATACGCTATACGAAATTCCAATCATTACCTCATTTTATAAAATGTTTTACTATTGCATTAAGACATACATAAATGTCAGTACTTTAAGCTTTCCATTATGGATTAGTTTATTATATAACTGTTTAAAATGTGAGTTTCTACTACACAGATTCTAGTAATATGTTGAATAGAAGCCAGGGAAAATGCAAGTAGTTTAATATATGAGGAACTAAAGAGTAAATAGGGTAATTGCCCTGAAGCCAGAAACTTCCGTGCTTAAGTGACTGGGGTAAAAGTGTGCTATAAATTCTGTGCATTTTATATTCATTGTAGTAGTAGCAATAATGGTTTATAAACTGAAATATCTTCATTCAGATTCTCTTTACCATCATTTGGTTTAGCATATTAAATAGGATGAGGTTAGATGGAGCAACAAACTTCCTTTCCATAGTAAACACCAAAAGTTTCTCCAGTTTTATTGGCAGCATTATATAAATGAGATTAACTTTTTTTTGTCCATGGCGTTCGTGTCTTCTGGATTACAATAAAGGTCGAAGCTAATGCCAAAATTCTGTGCTCTGTAGGCTGAAGTAGGAAGGGAACAGTCAACAATATAGAAAAATATAAATAAGAAATACAGATACATAGTGGAAATACAGAGAAGGATATTCGAATACTTCAGGGGCAAAATAAATGAGAAGGATTTAACTTCATGGGGTTTTTTGACTTTAAATGTCACCTCTGTGCTGCGCTAGCGTGTTGTTACATAAATTCAGAATTGGTGGTACTAGAATACTCAAATAGTATCTCAGAATACTTTTTTGAATTGATTAGAGGAGACAGTGGCTACACATTGTGCCTGTCATAGTGTTTTCTTCCACATTGGAAAGAAAGTATGTGTTCGGCTTCTAGGGGTTTGTAGCAGCAATTCATATTTCTTAGTGTCAATAGCTCTGTTTATTCATTGACTGTTACAAAAGTCATCTCGGTAGCTGTGGAAGGAACACAACTAAATAGCCCAGGGAAACCATGTGTACCTTGCATTTTATTAAAGCCAAAGTTCTAACATTTCATTTTCCTTTACACAAAACCACACAGATTTGTGCATGTGTATGCATTCTTTCTGTACCATTAGGTGGTCTTACTTTACTTAATTCTTCTTTCAGAAGCATTTGAAAAAAAAGGCAGAGGATTTTAGTTTAATCTTTTAAAGCTGAAAAGGCAGGCCACTGACATGCTTTGCCCAAAATGGAGTTTGTTAGTGTAGTATAGTTGATGACTTAGCCACTGATTAAATGATCGTCAAAAAGAAAACTACATTTAGTTTTTCTGAATACAGAGACTTGAGTGAAAAACATGTCAGTATACCAGGAACGTTAGGTCTTGCAACTCACATCAACTTATGAATGTTATTCTGTTTATAGGTGAACTGAAAACATTAATGCCACTTGATCATGAGCAGCAAGCAGTTTATTATCTTCTAATGAAAGCCACAGATGGAGGAGGAAGATTCTGCCAAGCTAATATTGTTCTGACTCTGGAAGATGTGAATGATAATGCCCCAGAGTTTACAGCTGATCCTTACTCCATTACAGTATTTGAAAACACAGAGCCTAAAACGCTTCTGACAAGAGTGCAGGCAACAGATGCAGATGCAGGTATGCATCCTTTGACCAGTCATGGTCCTTTTTGTCGTGGTCTCGAAGTTACAGTACTGTTTATTTAGTCTTATCCTGAGAGGTGTTAAGTCTTTCAGTGGAACTGACAGATGTTCAATACCTCTCAGGATTAGACTCCTGAAAAATTATATTTAGGGCTACTAAATGATGTAGCACCTGACTTTCATGTGTGAGTAGCTTGTAAAACACCCCTTTTGTGTCTCTGCAAAAAAGAGAGAGTGCTGTGATAAAACTAGGTTGCTGAATGGAAGATAACAGACAGATGTTTTCACACTTCACTAGTCGTGGAGGAGCAAAATGTTTGGCCCAAAAACCTATGAATTTTTTGTTTGTTTTTATACAAAAATGTTGCCAGAAATTACGTTCCTGCTAATTTTGGGATGTGGTTCTTAAATAAACTTACTGCAATTGAATCTAGTTATTTTATGCAGCCTAATTCTCCCATATTCTCCAGTGTTATTTATAAGTCTACTAAGCAGATACTGTTGTACTAAAGTCATAATTAGATTTATATTACTAATCGTCTCATATTAACTAGTACTGTAACTGAAGCAGAACCATGCTTCATGTTTTTTGTGTGGCATAAAATTGGTGCAATGAAGTGTTAGCTTAATTTTTAAAATCAGATTACATCTTTTTGGAAATCATTCTGCCCTTCACAAGAGTCTTTAACTCTTGCTGAAATTTACATTAACATGAATGATAGTATTTAGCATGCATGTTGAATTTCTGTAGCTATCAGATCAGTTAGTGTGTTGGTGTATTTTAATCTCTGCTGCATTCTCTGCAAATGTTTTCAAAATGCAGGGATGAACCATAAAATCCATTATTCGCTGGTGAGCTCTGCAGAGGGCCAGTTCTCTATTGATGAATTCTCTGGAATCATTCGGTTGGAGAAGCCTTTGGATCGGGAATTACAACCTGTGTACACTCTGACTTTGAAGGCTACAGATGAAGGCTTACCTAGAAGATTGTCTTCAATAAGTACCCTTATAGTTTCTGTTTTGGATATAAATGATAATCCACCAGTATTTGAGCATAGGGAGTATAGTGCAAGCATATCAGAGGACATTTTAGTTGGAACTGAAGTTCTCCAGATCTACGCTGCAAGCAGAGACATTGAAGCCAATGCTGAAATCACATATTCAATAGTCAGTGGGAATGAACATGGAAAATTCAGCATCAATTCAACATCAGGTAACAGATTACAACTATGTATGTACTTCAAGCTAACGAAGCACAGTGCCATACCGTGTTCTACAGTAATTCAACCAAGTAGGTCATCTAGAAGCTACATGCATCATCCTGGTTGTAAAAGCAGTGCTACTGTCTGTTCACCCATTTTGCCAGTGGCTTGCTAGAGGAGTGCAGTAGAATGTAGAATAGGAATTTTATTTGTTGCTGCTATTTATTGTTATTTGGGTTAGATTCATTTAGCTGGCAAAAGTGAGAGTTTCCTAGCTAGAATATTCACCACTGTGGGGGCAGACCGGGTGGAAAGACATAATTCTGTAATGATAGAAGGATAAGAGTCTTTTCACAGCGGCTATATAATCAGACTGAGTGGCCAGACTTGGTAAAAGAAAGATCGGAAATCAAATTGATTGGGAAAACTAGTCCTCAGTCCACTAAGACAGTAATTCTAGAGGATTCTGATACGGCGTTAAAGAGATGTTGGAATATTCTGTTCAGTCATATATCCAGCGTGACAGTGGAGATTTTGGGCTTGCATGTGTGTCAGATTTAGTCTCGGGAAGCATTTAGGTTCTGTCAAGAATTTTTCCCTAATAATGACAATTCTTTGTTAAAAACCAGTACACACCTCAATTCTAGTTTTGTTTTTTTATATATAGTTCTTTTTCTACAGTTAATTTCTGATAAAGTTTGTTGGTTTTTGGTTGGGTCTGTTGTTGTTTTTTTTTTAAATAAGGTTTCTACACAAAAGTTAATAGAAGTTAATCATACCGGTGTAAGGAAATTTTTCCAGTGTGTGCATGGGCACTATGGTATACAAGTACTTTGCCAGTTTAATTTCTTCGCATATTTGAAAGGAGGAAAAAGATTCCAGGGAAACACTTTTTCAGCAGCAAATTGGTGTGTATGTTAGAGACTGGACTATCTTAACTAGTTGGTTAAAAGCTCACACTTTAACTCAGATATTTCATAGAAGACCTCAAATTGGAAGGAACACATAAGGATCATAGCGTCCAACCCCCTGCTTCTCTCAGGACTACCTCATACTAAACCATATGTCTAAGAGCGTCATCCAGCTGCTCTTTGAACTCTGCCAGGTTTGGTGCCATCCCGACTTCCCTGGGGAGCCTCTTCAGTGACCAGCCACCCTCTCAGTGAACAACATTTTCCTAATGTCCCAGTTTGAACTTCCCCTGATGCAGCTTCATTCCATTTCCATGTGTCCTATCACTGGTCACCAGAGAGAGGAGATCAGCACCTCCCTCTCCACTGCTCCCCTTGAGGAAGTTTCAGGCTCCAATACAGTCACCCCTGAACAGACCTGAGTGTCCTCAGCCACTCCTGTGTGCATAACATAGGACAAGTAGGCAAGGTTAAAGCCTATTTACACATTTATGGTTGGCATCAGCTATATCATGTGTTGGGAAAACTACGTCTGCTTTTGTACGTTCCCTAAAGTCATTGGATCAAAGTCTGTCCTTAGATACCGCAGTGTAATATTGGGATGACACCACTAAGGCCAGTTAATCTGCTTCTCTTTACCCAGAAATGCAGTGTAATTCGAGGTTAGGAAGAGAAAAAATTGATCAAAGAGATAAGTGAACTTACTCCAAAGATCCCACCTGGACAACTGAGCATTCAGCCATCTGGGAGTTGACTGACACACAGCTGACCACAGAAGTGAAACATACATCATCCAATTAATAAAAGTTCAAACAGACATTAAAATGACCCCGCCGTTTTACTGACAGCTCTCAGCACGTGCAGTGAAGGTGTATAAAATTCATGGTCGGACACTTCTGTTACTACTTCTGCAACCTTCATGCCTGACCTTATTGCTAGTTGCAAGAAAAGTCAATTTAAAAATTAAGAAAAGGATATTTTATATACACGTTTTTATTTGTCGTCTTTTTTTTTTCATTACAGAATATAAGTCAGGTGGTTTTAAAGTGTGTGAGTCTTTTGTGGTAACAGCAAGAACTTCTCACCTCTTTTATATGTAAAGCCTGATCATTTTGCTGTGTAGTTCCAGCTTTACAGTGACAAATAAAGCCCTGAAGTAGCTGACTTATTTGTCAAACTAAACTCAAAAGTTGCATTATATTATACTACAGTAATAGCAGAGTTTTTATGAGGTTGTTTTGTGGTGGTTTTTTTGTTCCTTAGGAGCCATTTTTATCATTGAGAGTTTGGATTATGAAAGTTCTCACGAGTACTACCTGACAGTGGAAGCCACAGATGGAGGCACACCTTCATTAAGTGATGTTGTAACTGTGAATATTAACATAACAGATATCAATGACAATACTCCAGTGTTTAGCCAAGACACTTACACTGCAGTAATCAGTGAAGATGCTATGCTTGAACAATCAGTCATTACAGTATGTATTGTTTTTTTTCTTTTGAAATAATGTGTCATGACAATCATGCTTTTAAGTCTTGAAGGAATAAATATTGATTGGAAGGTGGACATAAATGAATACATAAATCTGCTACTGAGTGAATTTAAAATTTGTTTTGAAAAAGTTTCAGAATCAAGGACTTGAGATGCTATGGGAAAGCAGATGATATTTTGTGATACATTTGTGTTCTCCTCATGGAAACATAACCTAATTTTCAGAAGAAATTCAGGAAATTAAGTGATGTTGGTATGTTCTAGTCAGATGACATTTCTCCTGAGAACTATGAAATGTGTGAGACCAAAACAGCTGTACTCGTCTTCAGGATGAGTTTATCTGAAATGCGGTACAATGTATTTTGACCCGTTTTAAATGAGACTGTGATGTCCCTTAGGTTATGGCAGATGATGCTGACGGACCTTCAAACAACTGCATTCACTACACAATTGTAGATGGCAATCAGGGAAATCCTTTTACAATTGATCCTGCCAGGGGTGAAATAAAAGTGACTAAACTTCTAGACAGAGAAAAGGTAAGTTTTTGATGCTTTTTGAGCAGTTGGGATTAATTTAGCTGTACGTAATTGATGACCACCATTTTTTCGATTATATCTGTAAATTACCATTTCAAGTGTTCCAAAATTAATACAGCGGTAACAAAGTGAAAGCATCTGCTTAGATTCAAGCTTTTTTTGGGAGGGAGAGGAGGGTGGTGGGCATCTGCCGGGGGAAGAGAAAGGAATTCAATGTATGAAGGCAAGTTTTACTAGGTGGCACTAAAATACTTCTGTGAAAGGAAAGCTAAATTAGTTCCTCTTTGCTCTTTAGTGAATGTTTGATTTTTTTTTTTATATTATTTCTTAGATTTCAGGATATACCTTGACAGTTCAAGCTTCAGACAATGGAAACCCACCTAGACGTAACACAGCCACAGTTAATATTGATGTTTCTGATGTAAATGACAATCCTCCAGTATTCTCAAAAGGAAACTATAGTGTCATTATTCAGGTAAATACAGATAGTGAAGTAATCAAATCAATAATATTATTAGAGTGTTAATTCATGACTTGAAAACTTCTGCAAGATATGATAAACCTAATGCTGCAAATATATTTCTCTGGGTCTTTTTAAGTATTTAAAGTTGTCAGTGAGGCTGCTTACCTGAATAAGTGTTAAGGGTTACAAAATTCATATTGTGCAGTGTATTTGGAAACTTATGTTGCAAGTTGAGTGTCCTTTATTCATGAACTTCATATATGTATATTATATATTGTGTTTATTTTATAATGTTCTTAGCATCGTACCGATAGGTTAAAATACATAATAATTTTGCCATTTCTTTTTAATCTTAGAATTACAGCTTAGAAAAAGATACTTTATGTATCTATTACTGTGAAGCAGATGTGCACTGTGGCACATAGTTCAAGGCTTAATTCCTATTGGCCTCCTCTGGGTTCAGAAGCAGTTAAAACAGGAGTAGCATTTCATATTACTACATACCAATCCTTTGGCTGATTTTGCACCTTAAGATGGTAGTAGTGGGCCAGATTCTCAAATGGCTGGCATGTACTTGCCCAATTCAGATAACTCTTAGCTAAAGCAAAGATAGCAGAGACAGTGTCTGTATTTCTTGTCTTTTCAAATCACACAGAGAATAAATAGAAGGGAAGAAAGGACTTGCATTAAGACCTTTATACTGGTAACCTAAGTGAGCTCAATCCCTTGGGTCCTTTTGCTGTTGCTGGTGCCTGGTCTTGTTCAACAGATAAATGGGGATCAGACAGTGTTATCTTGTGCACTGTGCCATCCTAGCATACCACTTCTGTTTGAGACCATATACATAATTTGTAAAGGTATCTTTCCAAAAGACTGATTCATCACTACCAAACATATACTTACTTATGCTAGTAAGATATCTGGGATCTTGCTTTTTTTTTTGTAGGCAACAGATTTGTATGTTTTCACTGTCGGAGGTATTTTGCTTTCCCCAATTACAATCATTCTTGAAGTGAATGTTAATGTAGCTCCTGAAACTATGGACTATATAGCCAAAGCCTGTAGTGTTTCCCTTACTTAGTTAAAAAGGAAGACCTCATGTTTTATAGTTTGTTCATATCAGCCTGTCCCAGAATGAGGGTAGTGGAGAAAAAGCTGAAGGAGTTGCCCAGGAATGCTGGTATGCATTTCCTGATATATTAGAGATTGACATATTTGAACACAGCTGTAAATGTGCTTAGCTGTTACGGAAACCAAATTACTTTAGATGTCCAAGTGTAAATATTTGTATTTTAAAATGGTGGTCCTTGTCTGTTTTGCTAAAGGGGGAAAATGCTTCAGCTGCAGTAATTAACATGACTTACTCTCTCAAGAGCGAAGATTAAGCTTGTTATTAGGAAGTTTGCAACTGTGGAAGGATAACAGTTATTGTTGGACTTCACAATAATGTTTCTACTTTTTTTTTGCATTTAAGATATGTGTATAAAAATCAGATCGATACGGTATAGCATGGATATTCTGGGAGAGTTGTTACAAGTGTTCAGTGAGATTGTGTGTGTGTATCAGATACACAGTAAACCAAAACTTGTACAGTGTCTGTGAAGCCTCAGGTATCCACACAATGCAAACTTGATGCAAATTTTAAAACCTGGATTTCATAGTTTAACCAGACTGTGGTTGTAGCAGCCACAGCTGCAGTCAGAACACTAATTAGGGACACAAGGGGTCAGACAGAAGAGTGAGTTTTTCTAGTCCTCTCAACAAAGGCATTAGATTATTCCTAACAGGTGTTGTAGCTAAATTTGAAATCTTTGATGACTTGGTAATTAATCTACAGTAATCTTAATTCAGACCAAAAGTGGAAAATGTAAAGTTTCAAGACTGATCTACCTTTAAAAATATAAAACAAAGTTTAAAAATATAAAACAAAGTTTAAAAATATAAAACAAAAGTTTAAAAGTATGCTGCCTTTCTCTTTTTACCATTTTCATTGTTTATTCTCAGAGGATAGTATTTTTCTTTAAACAATATTGTCAGTCTAATTTCTCTTATACCGGTTAAGTGGTTTGACAGTAATTTGATTTTTTTTTCTATTATGAAAAAGAACTCAACATTAGGGTATATGTTCAGTTATAACAAAACCAATGGGATTGTATTATGCATTTCTAGGAAAATAAGCCTGTTGGATTTAGTGTGCTGCAGCTAGTGGTGACAGACAAGGATTCTTCTCACAACGGCCCTCCTTTTCTCTTCACCATCCTGAGTGGAAATGAAGAGAACACTTTTCAGATTAACCAGCAGGGAGTACTGACAACAAATGCTGCACTGAATCGCAAAGTCAGGGATCACTATTTACTTCATGTTAAGGTAGGATGCGCATTACCTCTAGCTGTTTTGCCTTACGGGTATTTAATTAACTTTTCCCACTCATGCCAAATCCACTGCTTTTTCCTGCCTGCCACTTGTCTTCTGTTACAAGATCCTGACATGCCAAGTAGTCATTTGAGGCGTGTCCTTTGTGGTAACATCTTCAGAGACAATGTCTGTTGATTTAAATGGAAATCTACACGGGTGTAACAGTAAGCTGAATTAAACTCATGGTGAGGGTAAGGTGTAAGTGAAATGTTAACTGGGAGAGTGGTCTTGATATAAGCCCTTGCCTTTCATGTGGGATGCTGGAAAAGCCACCTACGATTGGTTGCATGCTTCCTCTTGCCACTGATGCTTTGACTCTTTAAGCTGTGAGCTGGACTACACTGATACAGTGGAAACAGGGATATTGAAAGTTGCACATCATGGCAGTACTGAAATATTTTTTCTGTTACTGCCACATTCTTTTTCTAATGGCAATTGAAAATATCTTTTTTAAAGTTTGGAAGATCAAGTCAGTGGACCTTTGTCGTAGCATTGAAACTTGCAGCACAGTACTTGGAGATCTCAGAATCTTGCAGTGGAAAACATGGCATAAAACTCAAAAATTACCCTGAAATGCTATAATATATGTCTGTGTTGGCCATTGTTGTGCAAAAAGACCAGACCATGTCCAAAAATCCAGGTTCCATTAATATAACTAAGTTTTTTAAAATACTTTTTTGTAATATAATGTAAGAAAAGTTCAAACCATTTTTAAAAATCTTATCCAATCCTTCTTAATTCAGTCATAAATTAAGTAGCTGTGAACAGGACACTTAAAATTGGTAGGCTAAAAATAGCTGGCCTTAATTCCTAAGCTTCATTTCCAGATTTGTGTTTTAAGAAAAATTCTTACCTTTATTTTTATTTTATTTTTACAAGAATTTCTTTCAATCATTCTGCTTCACCCATTTCTTTAGTCTCACTTTCAGTAACTCATCATTAACTCAATCATTCTCATATGTAATGTTTTGGACAATTTCTAAGTAAACATGTACTTGCAAAGTTTGAGCAATACTGTCTGGGTCAGTTTATACTGAATTCTGCCCATACTGGGGTGATAACTGTGGTGTATTTACACAAACTGTCTCTTTTCTATGGATGAGGGAAAAAAATGCCCAAAGGTACTGTCATTTTCTGGTGGAGTCACTAAAGTGTGTTATCAGGATCCATCAGTATAGGAAGCGGCATAGATAAAGGTTCCATTTAAATGCAGTTTAATTTATGGTTGAAGAATTGAGATTAAAAGCAGGGCAGGGAGGTATATCATTCCTCTGTTAGCAATTTTTTTTTCTCAATAGGGTTCTGCTAATTGATGGTGGGACAGATGAGTATTCAGGGTACCTAAGCAATGGCTTTGTTGGCCTTCCTAGGCTGTGTGAGTCTGAAACCACAGAAGAGCTGGGCTTTGTCACACTTGCCTAATAGGCTTTCCATGTTCTATACTGATTACTCAAAGTCATCGTTTTGTTTAGGGAAGAAGAATCAGCAGTGTTTTTCCTGTATGTGCAATCAGTGTAATAAAAAATGCATATATTTTATTTTACATTTTGTCTAAGCAGTAACCAATTTCTCTTTATTTTGCTTCTAAAAATAGTCCAATGCATGCATACACAGGCAATTATGTCTGTTCTGCATAGACTGTTACACTGTGTTTGTCACATTTCATGACTTCAGTGCACCTTTTGCCTGCCTTTTCTGAAGTTTGAGGCACCTCTCTAACACCTTCCTCTGGGTGGAATCATGCAATTTGTTTGCTTCAAAGCCACTTTCTAGGCTGTAGGATGCTTGTAAACAGATTGTCAGTACTTCAGCTATCCTGTCTTTAATAGAACACTTGAAAAGTGCCTCTTTTTTTCTATTTTAATGGCATCCCGTAGCTAAACAAGTGTCTTAAAACAAATGTACCCATTTAGAACAAAGGTTTCTCAGGGACTGTAAATCATTAAAGCAGACTACACTAATGTGCATTTTTTGTGTGCTGTACTACCCAATGTCAGTATTTTGGACCTGTCTAATCCCTTGATTTACAAGTTCTCTGCCTGGATTCTGGAAATATGTCACTGTCTTTTAATTGCCATTTATCATCTTTATACTATGATAGCTTTTTTAAAGTAGAGACAGTGCTATAATTTGCTATTATCTTCTCCTTAGTGAGTCACTGTACATGAGGGTGAAGCCATCTAAGACTAAAACTAGCATTTCCATATCACAAGATTTCAGTTCCAGTCATACACACAAAAATAGATAATAGACATGGAAAAATACTCTTCCCCCATTCATTTAAAGGAAAGCTTTTTCTAAGGCTGTTGGAAGGCATCTTCTCAAGTTCACACTATATTTAATTTCTGCACTTCCATCTTGCAGCTCACAAGTTAATGGCTGTGTTTGATCTCTTGACACTAGTTTTTGGTTTTTTTAACTTACTTCACTGGTGTGCTTTTCAATATTGACAGGTTTCACCTTAGTGGCTTTCTGTATAGATTGCTGAGGCAATCTTCTTATGTTACAGGCATACTTCAGTTAAATAAAAACTAAAAATTAAAAAACCAAATCACAAACAACTCCTCCCATACACACCTCACATACCCACTACCACCAAAATACTTTAGTTAACATGAGCCTTTACTTTACATTTATAGGTTTAATAGAAATAAAGATTTTTTTTTCCCCCAACAGCTACCTACATGTGCATGCCACTGGCATTTGCTTTCCCTCTCTTCAAAGGAAATAGATTATCCATTAACAAATGTCTCGCAGCATTAGTGTGTGAAATCTTTTGCTATGAGTCATACAGTCCTTTGTGCCACACTCTGAAGTCTTTGGTTTAAAACCACAGCGGATTTTTAAATATCTGCACTGTTGAAAAATCATTTCTCCTGGGGCTCTTCTTTCTTTACTTGCTGTCCACTCGTTATAATTTTGCTTGCCTGTTCGTTTTAAACCCTTTCTTGTTTCCCTTGGGCATTTGTGCTGTAGCTAAACTGCCTGCCTTGTCTTGTATCCAGGCAGAAATCTAGGCAAAATAAAACTTTGCCAACTTGAGCGAGCTCTCTCTCTTTTTATTTATGTTTGGGTAACTAGAGGGCAAGTTTCTAGCTATGCCTGTCTCTTGGAGTTAATGGATGAAGACATATTTTTCTATGACACATGCATTACCTTTTTAAAAAGCACATCCACAGATAATCTTGTGCCTGGAGTTTTTCCTCTTTGACTTAAATTTGTATGAAATATCAAAAAGAGCTTATCTGCATAGATTTTTCAAAGCGTACCAACTGCTACTATGTAGTCATTGTAAAACTGCTGTAAAATCTTTTGAGCAATGCAAGATATCTTCTACCTTCTGAGCTCTGTGTATCCCCCCTGTCCTTTTACATCTCTCCAATTCTTCTTCACCCATTTCTTTAGTCTCACTTTCAGTAACTGGAAAAGAGCTCTGGGAAAACGGTGAATGGGAAACAAGAACTGAGAAATAGAAAGAAAGTGAACCCAAGGGAATCCTCTTTTCTCACTTTTACTATTTTTTTTGTTGTTGTTCTCTCTTCATACAGTGACAGCCTGTGCTTTTTGTCAAAAAGGGGTGGAGGACAAGGGATGTGCTGTTCAAAAAGGCTTTAAAATTTAATTAGGCTGATTCTGTTAAAGCTAATTACTTGAATTGTCTGAAGCAAATAGCAGTGCAAGTGGGGTTTTTTTGGCTCTCTGATCACAAATCATGAAAGACAACATAATTAATTGTAACTTTCTACATATATTGTTTTTCTTTTGAAGTAGTGTTTGGCATACTGCATTTAGATTGTCTTCAAGACCACCTCCTATTAACTGTTGTAAAACATGTTGTAAATTTCTAATGCATGACTCATTTCATGTTTGTAATGTGTTTCCATACTTGAAATGAAAAAGCCTCAAGCACCATCTGCTGTCTGAAATCAGCTAATGTGCATTTCCTCTGTGTTTGTTAGAAGTCTAAGTAGCTTCCTGGCATTTCCAGGTATTAAGAGCACTGTAGCCTCTTAGTCTTGGAAGAAGTGAAAACATGTTTGTATGTGCCTGCTTATATAAGTTTTTTTGAATTTTCAGTGTTAACTTTAACCCATGTTAGGAAATTTTCATATAGCATTTTCCTGTAGTAACTTGTTTTGTAGAAAAATATAACTCTACTGTATACAGTACAAATAGCTACAGTAGAATTTGAGAAAACAAAAACCTAACTCTATCCTCATCTTCCTATAGGTGGCAGATAATGGAAAACCACCGTTGTCATCTTTTACTTACATTGACATTAGAGTTATTGAGGAAAGCATTTATTCTCCAGCAATTTTGCCTCTAGAAATCTTTATTACAGCCTTTGGGGAAGAATATTCAGGTGGTGTCATTGGAAAAATTCATGCAACTGATCAAGATGTTTATGATACTTTGACATACAGTCTGGACCCCAAAATGGAATCCTTGTTCTCTGTGTCCAGTACTGGTGGCAAATTAATAGCACATAAAAGGTTAGACATAGGACAGTACCTCCTAAACGTCACTGTAACAGATGGAAAATTTACAACTGCAGCTGATATTACGGTACACATCAGACAAATCACACAAGATTTACTAAATCACAGCATTGCAATACGCTTTGCAAACCTTGCCCCTGAAGAATTCATTGGTGATTACTGGCGCAATTTCCAGAGAGCTTTAAGAAACATCTTGGGCGTGAGGAGAAATGACATCCAGATAGTTAGTTTGCAGCCTTCTGAACCTCCTTCAAACCTCGATGTCCTCCTGAATATTGAAAAGTCTGGTAGCTCTCAGCACCCTATGAGAATTTTGCTTCACAAAATAAACTCTTCTGTGCCTGACCTAGAGGAGATTTTAGGTGTCCGGATAATTGATATTTTCCATAAGCTTTGTGCAGGCCTAGATTGTCCTTTGAAATTTTGTGAAGAAAAAGTAACAGTGGATGAGAATATCATGTCAACCCACAGCACAGCCAGGTTGAGCTTTGTCACTCCTCGTCATCACCGAACAGCAGTTTGTCTTTGTAAAGGTAAGGAAAACAGTATCCTTGAGAAGATTGTTCTGGTTTTGAACAGCCATAATCCGCAGGGGAAAATTTGTATTACAAGACAAGATTAAGAATGTCTTGTAACCCTCACTGCAACATTTGCCTAATTTTATTCAGAGTAAGGTGTGATTCTTTGTTTCATTACCCTGTTTTAAGAGTTTACATAATATAAGCTTATGGGAGGGGATTTTTTTTTTTTATAGTTATGCCTTCGTTTTCCATTTTATGAAAGGAGTTACTTTTTTGTTGCCTGTTTTAAATTGCCAGGTGTTTTCAGTCTTGTACGTACAAAGGTAAGTTCTAGCGAAGTACCAGAATACTTCCTTACTTCCTGGTCTCTGCTTAGAGAAATATCCGACACAGCTTCCAAACTTGGCTGGGAATGGCAGGGTAAACTGGGAAATGAATATTCATTAAGATATATAAGTTTACAGATTTATAGCAGAAGCTTAATTTGTCTTTAGCTTTCAGGGTAACAACATTGCTTTTTTAAAATCGTGACTTTACATTGCTGGGTGAACTTGCACATGTTACATAAATACTTAAAGCCCATTCCTTTTCTGTCTCAAATATAGACACACTCCTCTGCTCTTCCCAGTCCTCTCTGTCCATGTTTAATATCCACATGTTGGGTTTTTTATGGTTTATGATAGTACTGGTAAACTTTAAACCACAACACCAGTTTAATTGTTTGAGTAATCAAGTTAACTGTGAATCGCAGTCACTGTATATGCCATTTATCTAGTCACTGCTACTTCACTTCATTATCAGATAGTTAGGAATATCATTGGGTTGCTTTGAGCTGCTGTACTTAAGTGTCCCTTTTCACAAAATACCCTTACCACCAACAGACGAGAAATAATGTATTTCATTTTACAGAAGGGAAATGCCCCCTGGTGAATAATGTGTGCGAAGGAAACTCATGCCCTGAAGGTACTGAATGTTTAGGAGATCCAAAGGAAGGAAAATACACCTGTGTTTGCCCAGACAGCAAAGCTGGACAGTGTCCTGGTAAGAAATTAGTTCTAAAAATTCCTGCAGAATACCATATTACATTCTAAATAAAAATTTTATTCCAGTCCTGTGTTAACACGTTTTGCTTTTCTGTATTCACAAGCATCAGTTGGCTCTGCTGTGACATTTACTGGGAGCAGCTATGTGAAATACCGTCTTATGGAAAATGAGAACAAAGAAGAAATGAAGCTGACAATGAGACTTAGAACTTACTCTGCTCATGCAGTTGTTATGTATGCTCGAGGAACAGACTACAGTATCCTAGAGGTATATTAAAATCTCCTATTGAATATCTCCTCTTTTCTTCTTACCATCTTCTTAATATTTTTTGTGCCAAATTAAAAGATTGAATCATAACATCTCAGTAGAATTGTTGTAATTGAGAACTGTCTTCAAGGTAGAGTGTCCTATACATCCAGGTGACTTAACTTTTACAGAATTTTTTTAACCTGTAAGTGGAATTAGTTTTATTTAACGTTTTAATGAAAAAAAAAGTCTTGAAATATTTATTTAAAATAGCAGCTTTACATTTACTTACTTATAATACTCATTAAGTCTGTACAGAAAAAGTCACTTAAAGCACAAGATGAAAGGTACATCTTGAGTGTTGCAATCTTTTGATGATGATCTGTGACTTCTTTACTTTTTTATCTGTGATTTGGATGAGGCAATCGACTATGCCCTCAGTAAGTTTGCAGATTACACCAAGCTGGGCAAGTGTGTTGATCTGCTGGAGTGTAGAAAGGCTCTACAGAGGCACCTGGACAGGATGGATTGATGTGTTGAGGCCAATTATATGAAGTTCAATAAGGCCAGGTGCCAGGTCCTGCACTTGGGTCACAGCAACCCTATGCAAGCTTCAGAAGGAGTGGCTGGAAAGCTTCCAGGCAGAAAAGAACCTGGAGTATTGGTTGACAGCATAAGCCAGCAGTGTGCCCAGGTAGCCAAGAAGGCCAACAGCATCCTGGCTTGTATCAGAAATAGTGATGTCAGCAGGAGCAGGGAAGTGATTGTCCCCCTGTATGTGACACTGGTGAGGCTGCACCTTGATTATTGTGTTCACTTTTGGGTCCCTCACTACAAGAAAGATATTGAGGTGCTGAAGAGTATCCAAAGAAGGGCAACAAAGCTGGTGAAGGGTGTAGAGCACAAGTCTTATGAGGAGCAGCTGAGGAAAATAGGGTTGTTTAGCCTGGAGAAAAAGAGGCTGAGGGGAGACCTTATCACTCTCTACAGCTACCTGAAAGGAGGTTGTAGTGAGGTGGGTGTCAGTCTCTTCTCCCAAGTAGCAAGTGACAGGACGAGAGGAAATGGCCAGGGGATACTGGATATCAGGAAAAATTTCTTCACCAGAAGTGTTGTCAAGCATTGGAACAGGCTGCCCAGGGAAGTGATTTGAGTCACGATCCCTGGAGGTATTTAAAAGATGCTTAAATGTGGCACTTTTAGTGGTGGACTCTACTGTGTTAGGTTAACAATTGGAGTCAATGATCTTTAAGGTCTTTGCTACTTAAGTGATTCTATGATTTACTAGAGGAAAGAATGTACTAAGTATACATTTTAATTAAAACAACTATGTAGAATGAATCACTGTCACTGTAACTGTTTGGAATACAATGTTATTAAACTGCCTTTTATGAACACCACCATTATCATGTCTCCTCAGCAAACATAAACTTTTATAGGCATCAATATTTACAATCTTTAAGTGTGCAGACCATTTGCTGATGTTGTGGCTTTCCTCTGTAGATTCACCATGGAAGGCTGCAGTATAAATTTGATTGTGGCAGCGGACCTGGGATTGTCTCCGTTCAGAGCATTCAGATTAACGATGGCCAGTGGCATTCAGTATCCCTTGAAGTGGATGGAAATTACGCACGACTTGTTCTGGATCGGGTGCATACTGCGTCTGGTACTGCTCCTGGTACACTTAGGACACTAAACCTAGATAATCATGTGTTTTTTGGTGGTCATATTCGGCAGCAAGGTACAAGACATGGTAGAAGTCCTCAGGTTAGCAATGGTTTCAGAGGCTGTATGGATTCTGTTGTACTTAATGGACAAGAGCTCCCCCTAAACAGTAAGCCACGAAATTATGCACACATGGAAGAATCTGTAGATGTGACTCCCGGATGCTTACTGACTACCACAGAAGGTTGTTCAAGCAGCCCATGTCAGAATGGAGGCATCTGCAATGCACTGTCAAATGGAGGTAAGATCTGCTATATTCTTAGTCAGTTTTCACAACTGATTTTCTGCTTCCCTGCCTTGAAGGACAAAACAGCTGTAATTCTTGCTTTCCTGGAGAGCTGTAGAGGACTGGTAGGAAAGCTGTGTCTGCCTGTGTTCTGGACTCAGCTCCTTGAGGTGTAAAGTAGACAAAGCCTGGATTTAACCTTCAGTGTCAACTAAAGACAGACCCATAATCCATCCTCTTAACTGCCTACTTCTGTCTTGAGCACCTTAAAAATTCTGAAATCATTGCAACAAGCTTGAGTTTTGTGAGAGAAATGGAAGTTATCCTTCAGTCATACTCAAAAAAAAGCTTACTGTTAGACTTTCCTTCATCTTTCAATAAAAACGTTTCTGTTTCTTTCCATCCTCTCTCTCTCTGAACAGCTAGGTGGGCAGGAAGGATTTTATCTTAAATCCAGTAAAGCCACGTGTGACTTTCAAAAATGCTGTATTTGATTTCAGGTTACTACTGCAAGTGTGCACCTTTGTTTATGGGAACTCACTGCGATGTAAGTGTCAACCCGTGTGCTTCCAACCCTTGTCTTTATGGTGGTACTTGCATCCCAGTCAGTGATGATTTTATCTGCCAGTGCCGAGGACAGTACACAGGCCAAAGGTATGTTTGTGTGGTTTATTGTACCAAACAAACCCTTAGAGAATAGGCTATAAAGGTAACACTTCTTCTGATTTCTTTTATTATCTACTTAAAGCACAGACTCTGAAACCCACTGGAGTTAGTTGAAGTTAATGCCAGCCCCTATGTTACACCCTGAATCCCACCCTATATACTTGACTTGTGGTAAGTTAATGGTTCATTCACGCTTTTTTTTTTACTCTTTTTTATTTTCTTTGCAGGTGCCAGCTGGGTCCATATTGCAAAGACAATCCTTGTAAAAACAGTGGCAAGTGTATTGATAGTTTGGATGGACCTGTTTGTGAGTGCGAAGCAGGCTTTCGTGGAGAAAGGTAGGTAATGTTCCACATATATTGAATTTTTAACAGTATTACTTAACTGTTAACAGTTCAAACTGTTTGACATCTGAAATGTTGAAAACAGCAAAGTACGTGGTAGTGTACAGTATTGTTTATTGGATATATCTGGAATTACTGAGAACAAGGAGACTACAAGAGAGACTACTGACGTAAACTAACCATCATTTATCTGCTTGCTTTCTGGTAGGTGCCTGACTGATGTCGATGAATGCATGGAAAACCCCTGTCTTAATGGTGCCCTTTGTGAGAATACTTATGGTTCATATCACTGCAATTGTAGCCGTGGATTTGGAGGAAAACACTGCACAGACATTGTTCTTAACAAATATGTTTCAACATCTTGGAACATTAGCCTAGCTGAAGTGATTGGGATTATTGTTTTCATTGCAGGAATATTCTTGTTAGTTGTGATTTTTGTTGTTTGCCGCAAAGTGATTAGTAGAAAGAAGAAGCACCAGCCAGAACCTGAAGACAAGCAACTGGGAGCTACAACAGCTTTCTTGCAAAGACCTTATTTTGATGCAAAATTGAATAAGAACATCTATTCTGACATCCCACCACAGGTTCCTGTTCGCCCCATTTCGTACACTCCAAGCATTCCAAGCGACTCCAGGAACAATCTTGACAGGAATTCTTTTGAGGGGTCTGCTATCCCTGAGCACCCAGAGTTTAGTACTTTTAACCCAGATTCTGTACATGGTCACCGGAAAGCTGTAGCTGTTTGTAGTGTAGCGCCAAATTTGCCACCTCCACCTCCTTCCAACTCTCCTTCAGACAGCGACTCAATACAGAAACCCAGCTGGGATTTTGACTATGACAGTAAGAAATGCTCTTATTTTATTACTTTTCTGTTAATGGTGTGTGCTGGTACAATTTTAATGAGTGCAAAGACTCTGTGCCTGTTAGTGTAGAAAATGCATTATACCGTTACTGGGTTTTGAGTCTGATCAGGCTTCATGCTCTATTAAGTTTTGAAAAAAATATGTAGATCTCAGCCTTAAATTGTATTGACTCTTTAATCTAGAATCTATTAATCGTCTCACTTGAAACTTTTTCTTTCAGCTAAAGTTGTAGATCTTGACCCCTGCCTTTCAAAAAAGCCCCTGGATGAAAAGAGCTCCCATCCTTATAGTGCTAGAGAAAGCATGTCTGAGGTCCAGTCTCTCAGCTCCTTCCAGTCTGAATCATGTGATGACAATGGTACGTAAAATATTCTGTATTGCTGCTTATATTCATTTGTTCTGTCTTTGCATCTGTATCTCTTAGCATCAATAGGACTTACATATATTGAATATATATTAAATAATAGCTTATTTAATATATATCTGTATTTACTTATGTTAATACCCAGATAATTTTTTAAAGTATTTTGCATATATTACACCTCATGTTAATTACTTTACCTTGAAATTATATATATTCATTCTGCTGTTAGAGTATGAACAGTGAAAATGCAGCACAAGGTGTTCAGAGCCTTGTGTTTAAAAGATGTTAAAAGCATGTTCAAATTTGAGAAACTCTTCTAGGTAATCATTAGTTATCACCTTATACAGGGAAAAGTGAATTTTAAAAATGGCCTCTGCACAAATATAACTTTCGCTTTGACATTCAGCTCTCAGTGAAAAGCTTTCTGGTGTTACAGTTTCATTTGTTTCCTTCTCTTTTTCTTGCTGCGACCTCAGCTCCCATATGGATCAGATCAGTTCTGAGTGAGAGCAGAGTTTAAGGGACTGCTTGTAAGTTTGATTACTTTAGTAATGAAGGAAGCTGCACAAAAAAGGAATTTTGTTATAGTAGAACAGTATATTTGGCTTTCACCATGATTAAAATGAATTCATAAAAAGAAATCATACATTGAAAAAAGTCAATATAAAAATATTTTTATCACAACTCCAGTCCATCAGAATATAACCACATACATATTTATGGGGTTTCTTCTTATTAATTGGAAGTATTTTACTTTTCCATTGTGACAGCAGATGCTTTTACAGTTTATATGAATGCATCTATGCATTCAGAAACATTTCAGACTGATTGGACAAAGCCATAGTTCTGTCATGACGTAATTCACTAAGTTAAGGCGTTTTGACTCTTTATTCCAATTCCAAATGGTAAAAAGAATTTTAAATTTTTTTAGCTTAGGAATAAAGAACATTCTGCTTCTTAATGAAGTAGAGTGATTTGTTCTTAAAAGCATGAAAAGAAACATATGTGTTAATGATTGGTGAAAGTAAAATGGTACGCCTACAGTACTCATCATTTTATCAGTAGACCTGATACCAACTTTCAGTTTTTTTCTTGTGGTATTAAGTGTTGTGCAGTACATGTTGTTCTCCTCTCCTCTCCATCCTATGTACGTCATACATTCTTACTCGTATTTCCTGTCATGTGTTGATTACTCATTAATACAGAATTTTAAAAGAAATAGCTGTAGCACCATAGATATTGTCCCCTCATTCCTTTTTGGTAGATTCTGAATTTATTAGTTTGAAATGTAATCCCTGAGCCATGCAAACAAATTGCATGTGCTTACCTCATCCTACCCTATAAGAGTAAATCCTCCCTTCCAAAATTATCTTGGGAAAGGGAATACATAAAAACTACATTCATTTTGGATGGTTTCATATGAGAATGTCACAACCTGAATTCGGTATTCTTACTGTGGTACCACTGTTAGCACACAGCCTAACTAGGTGAGCAACAGAAATTCTTAGTTATTTTTCATATTCTAGCATTTCAGTTCATATCAGTGATAATTTCTTTCTCCAGTCTTCTATTGAGGGGAGGAAAAATGTAGTTTGCAGTCTAAAAGGCAAATAATGGAATACTCTTTAATTCATCCAACACAAGCCTTTAAAAAAGCTGAGTTTGTTGCTGTCTAAATGAAGTATTATGCAAATGGTATGTTTAGGCAACATTTCAGAAATTCTAACACAACTAAAGCAGCTTTGTGCTTGTGCTGAATTTGCTTCAGGAATAGTTACCAGTACTTCTCTATTTTATCAAGAATAAAATTCAGGTTTCAAAGATGTATTTTACTTATTATATGCAGCTGCTGTCTAGATAGTATATCTATATGTACACCAATAAAATTGTATCATAAAATGGTAATGAACTGCAATTTTACAGTGTTTTTTTGTATACCTGTATGCTGTTTAAAGTGATCCTAACTATAGGTTTGTTTTAATTTGCTCCTTTTATACCTTTTACAAGCTTCCATAGTGACTGTAATACACCTTGTCAATGCTGTTGTTGACTCGGTGGAAAAAGAAGGTATATACATGTTTTAATATTTATTTACTGCTTTGACAGAATAATGCACGTTTGTCTTCTACTAATGTAGTCCTAGCAGATGGGAGTTACATTATTTACTTGGATTCCATGATAAGTTTTAGCAAATAATATATTTATATTGTATATCTGTTCATATTTTATGTGTACGCTGTAGCTACCCTGTGGACAGGTTTCGAAGTATAATTTCTAGGAAAAATGTATTGGCATAAAAAGATCTTGGTGCTTGCTCTCTTCTGAAACTATTCACACTAAAACTCCCAGCAGAACTGAGACAACATCAAAAACACACAGTACTGTAGGTGAAAAAGGAGCAGCCTCACTTCCTTTTCTTCTCCCACCTACATCTGTTGGTGCCTTGTCCAGCTGAGTAGAATGGCAGTAGAGTGATACCAGTACTCACTTCCCCAGTCTTCAGATCAATCTGTCTCTTTAGCAGAAAAAAAAAGTATTTTCAGCATGCAGCTTTTTGAGGTATATAGGCATATGCATCCTTATCAGTTTAAGTAGTTAGTTACTACCCAGCCTTACATCAGTATCTAAAAGTATATTTGGGTGTATATATGTATACACACACGTATTTGTGTGTGTGTGTGTGTGTGTGTGTGTGCCTGCATAGTATGTATTTGGATGTTGGAGGCAAAGTAGACATTTTCAGTGGAATTTTATTTATTTTCTTCTAATGTTTAACTGACCACTCTGGAAAACACAAACTCTTTACAAAATAGTAGTAGTAATAAAGCTGCCCGTGAGTCTATACAAATGCTAACTATGGTTTTAATTGACTTAAAAATCCTTAAAGTTCTAGCAATATGCAAGTAAGTCACTCCATGACCATGAGTCTGCAGAGTTTACTTCTGAAATAACGTCCACAGTATATGTTTCCTATTTCTTAATACATACAGACTAGGAACTTGTAGTATTTTATTAAGTCCTACTTAAAAGGAAGCCATTTGAAGAACATAAAATTAATTATAAAGATTCTCTTTGGTTTGTTATTTGAAGTACATCCTGTCCAATGTATGCAGTCACACAAAAAAGTAGACAAATGTGAAGACTTGTAATTAACGTGATAGTATTTCATTAATGTGTACCTATAGACCATACTCCTCAGTGCTAAAAACTTGTAGTGTGCAGTACGTATGAAGGGACCATTTTAAGGCTAAAAGAGGCAAAATCTATCAGTGGGAATATTTAATAACTCAAGTTTTCTCTGAGATGTTAATTGGTAGAAACTAAAAGTGAGGGATGTAGTTCTTGAGTCAAAGTTGGAAGTATTGTTTGGTGGTTTGGTATCACTGTAAGATAAATACAAATATTTTATGTGTTGCAGAATATTTGTAGAGAGATAAAGATGTCCTGCTCAGCTACCTCTTAACACTCAAAAGTTTCTACTCTTAATAAGCATTCCTTCTTCCAAAGTATCTTAGGTAAAGAATTCTGCTTTTGAGCACCCCCCAGGAGGGTGCCAGTTTGAGCAGCAGAGATCCTTGATCAAGCCTTCAGCACGGTCAAGTTTTGGGATAGGTCTGAGAAGGTCTTTTCCCTTAGTCTCTCCAAGTGGTTCTGTTCAACAGGTATCCTGGAAGCCCTAGTCTCATCCTAGGACAGTTGTAGATCTGTGTTCTCTGCACTGCTGCTCAGAGAAGGTTGAAGCTATGTGCGCATTGACAGTGCTGAGTGCAAGAGGAAATAGAGCTGCTGTCTAGCAGATTGTCACCTAGAAAGATGGGCACATCAGGTTCTAGTTTGTGTTTCTGTATTTTATGTTAAAGGGTCTTTGTCTCAGAAGAAAAGGACAGGACTGAGATCTCCTCATTCCTTGGTATAAGTGCTCTAAACCATAAGGTCACAGTCTGCCTGCAGGCTTTAGTTTTGCACCCAGTTTCCCAAGAAAAAATGAAGAATGTCATCTTCTAAGTAGACTAGTGGTCAGAACCTTCTCCTGGAGAAGAAGCCAGAGATGTCTTGGATCATAGATAATAACAGACTGATATCTCCTTTAGTGTGTACAGTATTTTTCTTGTCTAGGCTAGACAAGCTTAAAAAAATAATAAGGAAACCCTCTTTAGGGTTCCTTTTAGGAAGCTAAAGGGAGAGTTCCCATCTTTGCATGAGATACTTGAAAGTCTAAGTCCTTAATAGACACAGCCCTCTATCAAAAACAAGATACAGGGAAAGAATAAAATCAGACCAATTCTTGTTACCTTTTTTAGCATAAGTCCTTATTCCACTGATAGGAGGATTTCAGCAAACTACAGACTCCAGATTTTGCCACTACACAGCCATGTCCCAGGTGGGCTGTACATCAATCTCAGTAGCTGTTTTACAGTTCAAGACTAACAAAGAAGGTGCCCAGGAGAAAAAAAAAAAAAAAGCCAACTTTAGTACTGCTAAGTAAACTGGCATATTTTGCCCACTAAAAATGGACAAAGCGGCATGATCATCATAGTGACAGTCATTGTTTGTCTTCACATTGGTTCTACTATTTGATTCCTAACTACAGATGTTTTCTCCTTTCTCTTCTCATTCTGCCACCTAAAGAATCTTTTGCTGTTCCTGACCTCAGCAGTTCAAGAGGTGACTTCTGCATGCAGTTCATTGATGTTCACCAAAGTATTTCTGTTAATACTTGGTTTTAACACAGACTTACTATCAGTTGCTTGCTGTGCATTTGTCTGCAGTGATTACTCTTTACTAGATTTGCACCTTACTACAAATCTATATATTTTTTTTGGTGTTTAGATGAGAAAAACTTATTTTTTTAATGGGATTAGGTTTACATCTAGTTTTCAGCAGACCAGTACGAACTTACTCAAGAAGAGTTTGAACGAGAGGATCAAGTTCAGTCATTTATGCAAGATTAAGCTTGATTTTCCTGTTTTGTTCTTGTATTTGAATGTGGAATGTCTTTACTAATAGTCAAAGATGTTTCTTAGAGGTGTGGCAGTTACTGTAGATCTAACAGCATTTTGTGAGATTAACTTTACAATTTAGTTTAGGGGTAAAGTAGCTTTAAGTGGTTTGGATACTTTTCCAATAAGAAATTAACTTTTTTTATGTAAGAAAAGCATGGCTTATATATGCAAATATATTCATAAGAAAAACAGGCACCCTAACTGTTATTACTCAGCAACAATTGATGAAGAGTTTAGCTGCACCAGGGAGGCTGTTGGTTCTTTGCTATTCAGTGAACAATTCTATACTATTGTGTATTGTGACAGCACATTCCATAGGTGACCTACAGTTCTTCCCATGTTAGGTGAGAAGTCTGAGAAAACATTAAAGTTCAAGTGTGGATGACGCAATATCTAATGCATGGCATAATGTAAAGTTGTGTTGTGTTGAATGTCTTTTGTGGAACCAGGGCAAACTGCTCTCTAATTAACAAGTAGTGTCCTAATCACAGTGATTGCATCGTCTTAATTACACGTGTGACTTCTCAGTTCAGACTGACTTGAAGACAAGATACTAATACTGCTTTAAAAACAAAAAAAATTAACTTTTCAGGTTATCACTGGGATACATCAGACTGGATGCCAAGCGTTCAGTTGCCAGGTATCCAAGAATATCCAAATTACGAAGTGGTTGAGGAATCAGCTCCCCTCTACACGGATCCAAATGCCATCGATACAGACTACTACCCTGGCGGTTATGACATAGAAAGTGATTTTCCACCTCCACCTGATGACTTCCCTGCACCCGATGAGCTTCAACCATTACAACCAGAATACAGTGACCAGTTTGAGTCAATACAGCCACCCAGAGACATGCCAGCTATAGGTAGCTTGGGCTCTTCTGCAAGAAGCAGGCAGAGATTTAATCTTAATCAGTACCTTCCCCATCACTATCCTGCAGACATGGCAGAACCTCAGACCACAACCAGTGGTGTCAATGGCAGTTGCAGAGAACCTTATGTTCCTTACTCATTAGGGTACAGTAGAGACTTTGAAGCACCCGCGGTAGACAACATGTCCATGTCTGTGTATGCTTCCACAGCTTCATGCTCTGATGTGTCAGCATGCTGTGAAATGGAGTCTGAAGTCATGATGAGTGACTATGAGAGTGGAGACGATGGCCATTTTGAAGATGTGAAAATTCCTCCACTTGATTCCCAGCAACATACAGAAGTCTGACACACTCAACAAAAGTGCCTGGACTCTAACAAACTATCAATTCTAGAACAACTTTCAAGAGCTTTTTTAATTTCTTTTTTTCCCAGTCACAGTGAATGCTTTTGTTTCGGTGAGCTAGACTGGCATGGGGGCATTGGATCATGCAGTTCATTTCACTAAATCAGCCTATTTCCATTTCCTGACCTACTGTAATTGGACAGTTTCAAGATTTCCATTGGCTGTGTCATAGCTGAACATCCTTTTTGTACTTACATTGTCTATGTTAAAAAAAAAAATCATGTACCACTTCTCTCCATGTTAGCATGATGCATATATTTATATAGTTCTAATGCAATTAATTTCCTCCTACTTCTTGTAAATTTTATGTACAGTTTTGATTTTAATAGTTTTAACTAGATTTTGTAGATATTTTGTGCATTTGTTTTCCACTGAAACTAGTGGTGTTAGTGTGCCATTAAAAACTAGCACCCTGACTTGTAATCAGGGCAATCACTGTATGTATTCCCCCACAACCTAAGGTTTGACATTTCATTATTAAAAATTCAACATATTCACACAATTCCAATTGTACATAGGGTTAGGTCTGATATTTTTCTGGTTCAGCTACATGGAAATGTCTTAAATGGGTTGCTGTATTTTAGAACTGTAAACATTTTTTTCCCTTCTTGGAAAGTGTGTTGGGGAACCCTCTACATACCAGTTTAGAACCAAAAGCACCATGACACAGTTTTTTTTATAGTGTCTGTATATTTGTGATCCTATGGTCTTGTAAAGGTTTTTACTGAAAATTACCATTAGCCAGTCTTTCTTACTGACAATAAATTATTAATAAAATACTTTAGCTTTGCTCTGTGTATCTCTATTATATAATATACAATTGACAAAGCATTCAGTGCAGCATTTTTAAAGTCTGTCTATGTTTTGTACTGTATTAAGTTACTTGCTCCAAGCAACACGTTTTCTTCTCCTCAGAAATCAAACTGCAGCTATGTTAGAGATGCTCACTAGATGGCAGTGTGTGTCTACTTAATGGTGTTTTAAAAATAATCGGGCCAGTATGAATAAAGATTGATGGGTATCAAACTTCAGTAGCCTTCTCAGTAGTTTGCATTTTTCTTTAAACATATAATATCTGATATCTAAATTACTATTTTTCCCAAACTCTCAAAAATATATACTGAAAAAAACCCAAGCTCTTTAAAGCAGCTTCTTCCTTTCTTAATCACCTGAGTACTACTTTTCATTAATAGCTGCCCCTTGTTTGTGCACATGCATGCTGAAATTTCTGTGCAAATTTCTGAGTTTATGATAAATACATGGGGCTTTTTATGCAATTATATTTAAATTGCAGTTTCTTGCATTAAGTAAGTTCACACTAGAAGCTTACCTTGAAGCAGTCAAGACAGGATATAATTTGCCTGTATAATATCCAGCTGCTTTTCTGACTAGAAAAGAACAAAGCCTCTAACAAAGTTCTCTAGCATAAATTTGCCCTGATGGCAAGCTAAAGGAATAAGATAACTGTCTTTTGCCTCTTGCAGGAGAGATACTTTTTAAGTTCACAACAGATTTCCTAGCACATTAGTGAATTTTTAATGTAGCCTGGAATCATTAGAGTTCCACCTCCATTTTTTCCCTGCTGTCTCAACATTCTGTAGTCTGGAAATGTACAATATCGATTCTCTTAGCTCTTGAGCCTGAGTCTAGGCCTTCCACCAGCTGGGGGATCAGGGCACAAGATTTGTGTTTACAGTGTTATTTACACACAAAATGAAACAAATCCCAGCCTGCCAGCTGTATAATGGAAATAGATGCATTGCCGCACAGACCAAGCACAGACATTCCTCAATGTTAACTCACCCATATGCTGGTGAGAATCAGATGATGTATGTAAAAAGGCTAAACTCAGTGAGTTTAAAACCATGTTCTGGCTCTAAGCTGCAATATTCACCCTGATAATAATGAGCTTGTTTGCACATTGGGCCCAATGTTAGCATTTTTCTTATTTAGTAGCTGTAAAAGTGTGTTACAGAACTGTGAGTAAAGGGTATCATTCACTCTACAGTAGTTAGAATCACTGCTTAAGGTCCATCTTGAGCTCTGGGCGTTAAGCCAATGTCTCAATACTCTGCAAGGAGTCAGCTTAAGAAAACCTCATGTTGAAAGTATCAGAATATCCCTCCTTTCCCCCCCTTTTCACAAGAACTGTGCTGCTAGGCAACATGAAACACCCAGGTTACACTTCACAGCAGAAGACAGGGCATCATAACAGTCACTTAGGGAAATAACAGGCAGTTTCAACTCCAGCAGTTGCAGTTGGGGAGTAAAGCAAGACTCTTTAACAAATACTCCCTTTGTAGAGCTACCAGGAGCAATTATCACCTTATTCAAGTCCAGTAAGTGTGATTAAACCTGTTTTCCTACAGAGCTACAACAATACACAAGATGAGCTGGTAGCATTTTTAACGCAATTAAAACACTGATACAGCAGAGCATTGCTATTTGAGTCAATAGTCCAACGCATTCAAAAGCGTTGGCCAGATGATTTATTTTGAGAGCCAAACATTTTAAAATAGGCAATTTAAGTGAAGTCATACATTCAAGTCATCATAGTTAATGTGTTCTACCTAACTCCTTATACATAATGTGACTAAAGATAAATACCAGCTTCATCTCAGCTTTTGAGTAGTAGGCATATCCATATTAGAAATTCTTAAAGAAATACCCTGAATCACAGCACAGTTGAGGTTGGTAGGCATCTCTTGACTATCTCCAAAGATGAAGACTAAAATATCTTTAGGCAACCTATTCCGGTGTTCATCCTTCCTCACAGTAAGAATTTTTATGTTTAGATGCAGTTTCCTGTGTTTGAGTTTGTGCCCATTCCTTCTTGTCCTGCCATAGAGCACCACTGAGAAGAGCCTGGCTTTGTCATCTTAACATCTTCACATTAGTTATTTTAAACATTAATAAATTCCTCCTTGAGCCTGTTCTTTCCAGACTGAACAATCCCAGCTCTCTCAGCCTCTCCTCATATGAAAGAGGCTCTAGTCCCATAATCATCATACAGGCCCTTTGGTGGACTCACTTCTGGTTAGCTCCCTGTCTTGTACAGGTGGATCTATTTTTTTTTTTCTATTTTAAAATACTTATGAGCTACTGGAATTTAAAGTTCTACTGAGCAGATTTGAGTCAAGCTCATTGCTGTTCAATCTACATTTTATTTTGAGTGTATTAAATGTCATCATTTTGCCCTAGAGCAGGACAAACTGCAATTCTACCTAATTCGTAGCATCTGAGTTAGAAACAACAGACAATCCTGTAAAACTTCTTTCAGTCGCATACCTAATCTGAGAACTCCAGGAGAGGCATACACTTACAAGAAGGCATCAGGTTTTGGCTCCTCCTCCTTCTCCAAGGATATTTACTGATTGATTGTCCACTGTCCCCTGCCCTACCCATTGTCTCCATGAAACAAGTACTATCTCAAGCAACCAAGTCAGGAGAGATCCTGCACTGCCCAAGGGATAAAAATCTGAATCCATTCAAGCCAAAGAAGTTATTAAATCAGTCTCTAGCTGCAAGACACCGCACATAAGCTCCACCTCTGCCTTGACCCCTGTCTGCAGACAAAGACCAGTACTGAATAGCTGCAGTTCACCAGAGTGCCTAGGATGACTCCAGTCAGCCAGCCAAGAGGTGAGTGCCTCAGTTTCTTTCCACAGCTCCTGTGAATTTTAAGCATCAAATGGCTTTCAAGCCCACACGGGCCTTTGTAAAAATATTAAAGAGATGAAGTCCTCATTAAACGAAGCACACTGAAGTAGACATAATTAGTGGCAGCATTACTCATTCTCCCACAGCTGGGGTGGGGGAGTAAAGTCAGAAGAGCACAGTGCAATATCCAGTACAGCTGCAAAACAGGAAAATGAGCTCTTTGCTTTGATCTTAGACACAAAAGTTTAAGAGAAAACTTATTAGAATTCTTTTCCCTTCATGTAAGGTAAATAAATTTGTGAGCTTGCTGATAATCAAAAGCTTATTGATTACAAATGCCCAACATCCATTGCTAAATCTCATACAGTAAGCACTCCGATCATAACACAAATTTAGTAAAACTTCACACACACAAGAGTTACACCTTTGCAGCAGTCACACAGGAGTTGAGGCTAACAGTAAAAGCGTGACATTATGACTATTATAACAAGAGTTACCAAAACTGAGCCATATGACTTTCTAAACTTTTTGCTGCAGATGATCATTTCTCAGTTTCTTATTTTCTTACATGTTTGGAGTAGAAACCTCCAGTGTGAGGAAAAGCACTGAAAAGCCCAATTAATCTCAGTATGACTCATTCACATAATCCCCAGAGTACCAACTGGAAAATACTAAGCAGGATGAATTGCTTTCTGAGCTTGCATTTAACTTTGAAGAAATACATAGGGGAAAAAATGTGCTGGTGTATCAAAGTTTCCATTTTCTAACCTCTAATCTTTTCTAGAGAACTTGAAGTGCTGACAGTAATTTATAGCATATGAGTTCAAATGCCTCCCTTTGAAACAATGATTACCTTGTGATGGCCATACAGATAATGGGAACTTCTGCTTTGAGTTTCACTGGGTGGGAGGAGAAGACCAACTCACAGAGAAAAAGCCTACAAATATAATTAGCCAATTATCAGAGCTTGATTGTACGTATTGAGCTTTTTTGTTTTAAAGCCAAACACTGTTGTGTCCCACTGAAATTTCACAGAACTTGCCTCCAAAAAGTGCAGTATAACTGATAAGAAATGCTTAGTAAGCAGCACAAAGGTTACTTTGCCCGAGTTAGAGACTTAAAAGTGCTTAAACCCACATCTTCCACTGAGTGCCCACCTTGAGCTCCTGCTGAGGAAGCCAGAAAGCCATCTACAAGCTGGGCAACAGGAAAAGATAAAGAAAAAAGATGCACCTTGTGCCCCAGGAAAACAAAAGCAACCAAACAACAGTGAAAGAAAAAAACCCAAACACAAACAAAAAACAACCTCATACACAACCCACAACAACAACAAACCGTGCCAGCTCGAGCCAGGCAGGCAGAGAAGCAAACCATGAGGAATTTTGAAAATCAGAGGAAGGCACATACTAAAAATAGAGAGCAGTTGAGGCAGAGAGAGGTTTT